ATTTTGACGCCAGCTCATATAGGGTTTTTTCCGGATGATGGAAAAAATAGAAGCTACTATTCAGGGTTTAGGGTGGGTACTGCCCCCACCCTGTAACAGTCTCTTCATCTTAAGGTGTGTATATATATATGTATGTATCTATGGATATATATATACATATCTATAACGACATTGTTAATAGTATCCAACTGTTACAGACTGGGGGCAGTACCACCCACTTATAGGCCCTACCCTTTTCTTGCGGGGAGTTACCTAAGTTTGTACATAGACGGTGCTGGCCCTATAGTTGCCCTAAAATGGGGTCGGGCGTCAGGCAGTAGATGACAGGATAATCTAAGGACTTTGAGGGGCCAACAGCCAAAACCCCTTTGTCATCCTGATTGCTGGATTCTGGGGATGAAATCATACAATGCCTTGGGGTTGGAGAAGGTATGGGCCTGAATGCTCCGAATCGGATCAAGGGAGGCTATGCGCGAGTGACCCAACTGCAGCAGCTGTCAAAGTAACCTCCGCGTACGAAACCTTTTTGCAGGCACTACATTTGCAAAGTGATTTCTGCATGAACTTGTCTGTAGTGCCCCCCTCCTTTTCTGGGGCTCACGACATCTAGCTCCGGCGCAAGGACTTCAAACGCTGGAGGTTGTCTTGTTTTGATGCCACTGATATCATTGCCGTTGGTGTTCTGAACTGGTGGGGCTCTTAGACATGAACTTGCAGCCAGCCACGCCACCAGGAAAAGTTGGTCTGGGCAGGGCCCACCCTAAAATCACGCTGCACCGAAGAGATTACCCCTTCGACATGAACCCTCCAAGTCTTGAAGCATTCGTCAAGGAAGGTCAGATTTTTTGGACACCAAAATCAAGACGGACACCCAACATATTTGGCAAACAGCAATGGCTCTGCCCACCCAGGTCCAAGCCTGTTGCCGCTGGCAAAGACGCGCACGCCTTCTTCGCCGGGGTTTTGCGCAATGGGAGATGCTATGACTGGACAGCCAGCTTACCACCCACAGACCCTGCTTCAGGTCACAGAAACCAGTTGTTGGGTGGGATGTAATACAAGTAGGGCAAAGGTGAAGCCTGGTAGTTGAAACTTGTGGCTTGGCTTTCAGGATTTGGCTAGTTACACCTTGAGTTTGACTATTGAAGCTCCTACTACATGGCCTTGCAATCAAGCCAACCTTCAAACCCCAATGCAAAAATAGCCTGGTCTAGTCGTTGAACCATGTTGTGGCGGAGCTGAACAGTTTTCAGTAGCCAAAGCAGAAGTTGGGGGTGATTGATGGTGCCGCTGCGGCTCAACAAGCATACATGGTTGTTGGCTTTGCGTTCCAGGACCTTGTGCTGCAACGACGGGTCTCAGTTCTCGTAGATGCGCACAAGAACACCCCCAGAGTCCCAGCGCGATTCCCAATCTGAGCTTGCAAAACCGCTATCCAGACCAGTAGAAGTGTTGGCTCAGAAGCCACGAAACTTGATTGTAGTCTTACTGTCCAAATCACTTCATCTGCAAAGCCAACCAGGACCCTCCATGTACCCTTAAATAAGGGGTGATTCAAGGTATATAGAGGTTAGATGGAGGGTTCAGGAACACACGGAAGCAGTTGCGCTTTGGCCAAAAAAACCGTGCGCGGCATTTTTCATTTCGCCTACTGTACACCTCATTCCGGACACACATGTGCGCTACAAATTATGCCTTTTCAGACCTACACCACAGTCAGGCTTGTTGGGTTACTCCTGCACTACAACCTACGAAGACTTGATCCTACAAGCCAAGTTGACATACGTCAGGTGGACCCTCCACCCTGTAAAAGTGAGTGTAAGGGACAAATAAGGATTATAGTAGGGTCCTATGATATTCCTATTATACTACTATTACAGGGTGGGGGGCTCCTCCTAAGACATACGGCCTCTGCATCTCCAGGTTTTGCTGCTGAGGCCTGCCATGGCAAGGCCATGTGACTGTCAAAAATATGAACACTTCTTGGATCCCCAGCGTATAAGCCCCGAATATTAGGGCAACCCAAAAGGGACCATGATTTAACAACATATTATCACCTGTAAGTTGCTCCAGGCGCAGGTGTTCACATGCTCAAGTTTGGTACCAGGTCGAGATTCTGCGGCATATGGGACACGTGACGATGTCCAGGTATGAAGGAAACGGGGCCCTCACTTGTTACGTTGGTGATAGAAAACGGAAAACCCCTACTTTCTGACACAGCAAGCTTTTGGATGGCAGCAGGAATTAGCCCAGACCCTCCATGAGCTTGCTGTTAGCTGTATAAAGGCGACCCAAAGCAGCTGGTATCAGCTTGTTGAACGTCACCGCATCGCTGTTCAAGACGTTCGGATACAGGCTACAAAGTTGCCGGCAAAATTGTATTTTCACTGTTGATGTCATGGCTCACTTGCGCTGAGCCATAGTTCGGTAGTCACAGGCTTGCGTCGCTTGCGCGAGCTTGCGCGTGCCTACTTTTAACAAGCTAAATTATTCTATTATCATTCTTAGTTTTCGTCTGTATGAATCGCAGACACGGTTCTCGGACAACCCCCCCATGAGCCAGCGCCTGCCTCTTGGCTAGAAGATGCCGGTGCTGGAATCTGGGGAGGCCTGAGACACCCCAAGCCACGCTGCCAAAGTTATAGGGCAATCACCCACAGCTATTCAGCAGTGTTCAGATTCTGGAGTAATATACTCCCCTATATCATCCCCTTTATTAAGCCCCTAAGCCCTAAACCCTGAGTACTACACAAAGGGGGTTGTGTAATCCCCTATAAGTTGGGCTAAAAGGAGTTTGTTGCCACAGCTCATCTTGAAGTCATAGCTCAGCCCGCAGCCCAGATTCTGCACTCGTTGTCTGTCGGTCCTTGCCTTTGCAGCAGTCTACACGCGGCCTAGGGTTTAGGCTTTAGGGTTCAGGGTTTATAAGGTTGAGGGTTTAAGGTTTAGGGTTCAGGTCGGGAGTTTGGGCGGGTTTTTGGCAGGTTTCCGTTTTAATTTCTGCCCTATACAATTCGTATTCATCTGGGCTTGAGGGTTTAGGGTTTAGGGTCAGCCCTGTCTCCCCCTGCCAAAACTTGGGGTTCCTTATTTCCCCATCAGAGGGACTATAAGTATATAACTATATTGGGGTCTATATAATTGGGGGACCGCTATTTTGGGAAACTGCCTCGTGAGTTTGAGATTGTTCCAAGCTAAGCCAACTTGATGAGGCAATCAAACCTTTGTAGCGTCTGTTCGGATCTTGTAGCAATGACAACATTAAGGAGTCTCTCTCTCTCTCTGCCGTGCCATCCGGAGGGTCCAGCAATCAGGGGCACTATAAGTGAAACCATACAAGCACCTCTCAACAACTCACGGCCCAACATGCGTATGCATAGATGAGCTCATGAACTGCATCACGCGGCGCTGCCACATACTCGGACAATCGGATACCTCACCTACAACCCTCTTCATCAAGAACTGCACGTTTGTACGACGACAAAGGCCTCTGATCCTAGGTACGTCGCATGTCGCACACACCAAGAACCTGACATAGAACGTTCTCCGCAGCAACTGACCAGCATTCAAATCCAGAGCCTCCTCAAAGGCATCATCAGACTGCAAAGCAAACATCTGCCATCGTTCCACCCGGCGTAGAGTGTAGGAGTCGCAAGCACTCAAAAGACAAACCCTAAACCCCAAATAGTAGCTTCCATTTTATTTTCCACTATCCCTACATAACCCCAAACTAACCATAATACTACCCCTAATACTACCCCACTGGGACCCTAAACCATACTCTTTTCTAATCCATAGCGTCGGCTCCAGACCGCTCCCGCACCAGCAAACCCATCTTTGAGGCCGCAGGCACTGCACTTGAGAGAAATCATTCTCAACTGTTGAATTGAGCATCCGAACAGGCTCAGACAGTCTTGTCACTGCTTTTGACGTTCCTCGCGTTTCAGGCTCACGTAGGTAAGTTGAGGGACTTCTATTCAAAGCGCTTGAAAGCATTCGGAGATTTGGAGGTTGGCAGCGCAGCCTGCAGGCCCCGAAGCCTAAGACAGGCCATGCAACTAGGCTATGTACATGCGCTGCCGTCAATGTGAGAGATGGATCGCGCAAAGAAGCTTTTGCATAGACTTGTCTGCAGCATGGCCCTGCTCCTAAATGACAATGACGGCAGCTCAATTTGGGCAGCAGGCTCAGAAACGCCGACGCTTTCGCGGCCTGGGGGACTATAAAATAAGATCTTCCACTTGATCGAGGCGCAGGCTGTTGTTCACACTAGCATGCATGAGGCGAAGTTCTTGAAAATCCCTTCAACAACATCTGAAGCACCAAGATTTCCCGCGGAGGAGCCCCAATAAATTTCCATACCGTGAGCTGACCCGAACATCTGCGGACTGAGCTTCACCGGTGCGTCAGCATCGACGACCACAACGGCTGCCGCCGCCGCTGCCTCGGCCTCCTCACCTGAAGTTTCCAATTTCCTAGTGCAAATATTATTGTTATTGTTGTGATTCTGTCAATCTGCCCCATCGCTGAACCGGCGCGGAATTGCGACATAGAACGTAACAGGGAGCTTCGGGTCAGTAGTTTCTACCAGGATTATCTTGGCTTGTTCTCCATGTCCGGCTCCAAGGCCATGTAGGATGCCAAAGCGGAGCGGCTGGGCCCAAGGCAGTTGCTCCAGAGAACATAGCTTGAGACCAATTTGTTGTTATGTCCTTGTGACTATTCTTATGACTATCATCACTAGTATTACTACTAGTAGTATTCTTGAAGAGGGCCTGCTTGGAAGCCAGGGCCTTGTCAAATGCAAAGTGATGTGAGATTCCGTGCTGCTTAGAAACTCAGTCTGGGGGTTCCCATTAAGGATTACGTCAGGGATATTGTGCAAACACCCATCCAAAAGCATCCGAGGCACGTTCGGCCTCCGCTAAAGCCTCGAATCTGGATCTTCTTTGGGTCAGCTACTGAATCGGACAGCAGGAGATTCTTGAAGCTGATTGAACTGCATTTCTCAAGCGTAGCAACTGCCAGCAAAGGGGCCTGGGAACTGTTCCAACCAAAGCCAGCAAATGGGAACGGCAGAGCCCCCAAAATTAAGAACTTTGAGTCCACTTCTCTAGCCGCGTGTGACTTCCGATCGCAGTTTCATAGCTGCAGGCCTTTGCCAACGCTGCAAAGCCATCCACAACCTCCTTGCAATTCACAGCCAATATGCTCTGCGATCTTGGGATGTATGTATGCCTGTCAAGCTGCACTTCCGTGTGGATATATGTAATTTGGGAATTGAAGCTGACGTTACAGGTTGAGCGCTATAACTTTGCATGCTGCTTCTCAACCATGGGAGGATCTGCAAATGCGGGCCGGTGATTTGGAAATTCAGGCGTGCGGAAAGTCTCGCCTGTTCACACGCTGCGGATGAGCTGGTGTCTGCATAACGCGTTCCATCGCATTTCGGGACTCCTAGAGTAATTCCAGCTCGAATCGTTTCAGATCATGCTGCAATGTCCTCCTCCGCAGCTACTTCGGGGACATCCTCGGTCACCTCGCAGCAATGGTTTACTGGCCGGTGGTAGGGGAAGGCGCAGGAGGCATGTTGAAGCAAGCATCATCATATTGATGGGCTAAGTTTGGCTGCAACTGAACCAAGTGGTTGTATAGCTTCGAGCTGTGGGGCATCACTGGTGTTGCCGCTCTGCGTTTGGCGAAGGGCTCTCTTTGGCCCATGTCAGCACGTGACATCCTGCCTCCTCGCCAGCCAGAGCCTGCAATACGACAAGCACTTTTGCTGGGAAATGTTGCATGTTAACGTGCATGGGATCTTGCCTTCTACTAATCCCCCCGTCCCCCGATTCATCTATCTACATCCTGCGGACCCCCTGAATAATGATGGCGAAATAGTGGCGAAAGTAATGGTTGTGAAGTAGTATGAGTATGAGTATAAGTGTAAGTATGAGTATTGTTAGTAGCAGTAGGAAAAGTATAATGAATAACAGAAATTGCAGTAGGAGTGATAGTAAGCAGCTCTGAACGTCTATCCGCAACCTACTGGGACGGGATCTTATAAATGGGGGGGTTGTTATGATTGTGTTCCGGCGGCGTTTGTTTAATACACAGTTGTTCGTTTGAAGTCAACATTAGACATTTTGTAATGTGATGGTACGTTTGTGAAGCCTGGAGCTCGGGTCGTCTAAGACATGACAGATGTGTCCAAGCTACCTCCAGCACTCCCTCTGCACGATCCACCGCGAGCATCAATGGGCCCGGATCATCTCCTTCCTCACGCAGACGTAGCTGTAAGACAAGTTGATTCCGCTTGGCGTGCAATCAAGAATTCTACTGTTGGATGATTAGAGCATCATGCTGCGGAGCTGTTAATTGCGAACGTCCTATGCTCCACGCTGATGTGACATTCTGCGTTGATGCGTCAGCCCACCCCACCACCCATCAAAGCATCTTAGTAACATTGTGCGCAGGAATGCTCTGCAAGATGCACGCAAAGTCACGGCCCTGGGGCCAATTTGACGATTCTTGTCGCTTGTTTAGGCAGTCCAATTGCATATGGGGGTGTGGCGTGTGGCAAGCTCTCTTGCTTCCAGAATTCCCGAACTTGTTCTGGAAAGCTGGGCGCCTGCAATTTGCCAAAAACGGGTTCAACAAGGCACCTCTGACCCAAGATGCCACAAGCCTATGAGCCCGAATCCATACCCAACCCGCTGTTCCTGGAAGCTCTCCGCGAGTTCCATGACGGCCGCCGCCAATGCGGCCGCTGACGCTGCATAGTCCTACCACTGAAGGCTTGAAGCTAAATCTAAGCGGTGGATGCCAGGCTGGGCTGAGCTTTGGGCCGAGGTTGTTTGAGGCCATGTGTGTAGTTCATCAGGTACAACCCTTCAGTAGGGCTGAAGCAGCTAAAGCATGTCAGTACAAACACAGCCCTCTGTCTCCACCTGCATTAATTATGCGCTGTGACGGTCTCTTGGCTTAGTCACAGGGCTGAAGCGAATCTGTCCCCTTGTACTTCAACCGTCCTCTGCCTCCTCCTCTGGTGCTGGTGATGGCAATGTTGGTGCGGCTGCTGCAGCCGCCTCAGCTGTCAGTCTTCAAACTTGACATCTGTCCTTGTTTGTTGCAAGGCGTTAGCCATGCCAGCTCTGTTCGAAATTCTACTCCCTTCATTCTCCCAACTTGGCGAAGACACCGCAATTCAGATGAAAATTGCTGTGCCTGCAGACTTGCTGCCGCCGAAGCCCGTAGCTGCTCCTCAAATACTCGCTCGCACACTGCTGCGCCAAGCTGGCTTTGGGTTCTGTGGCGGGGTGCTGCGCAGCGGTTGAGAAATGCAGACTCAGCAGGAACCAAGACAACTAGGATGAAAAGGCTCACAAGCTGTGGCTCTCAGTTCATTGCAATCGACAGCAGCGTCCTCTGCCGCAAGGTCTAAGGCAGCCTCAGCTGCCTGAAGGACATTGACATACTCCATGACTGGCTGATCTTTTCGACAGCCCTTTCAACTGACTGCTACATGGAAAGTTGTTTGGCGTTGCAGGTTACTGGCCAGGTTGGACTACGCCTTACCAACCGCTGCCTCTCGTTGTCAGGGCTGCCCGGGTATTGACTAAACAGCTTCCACGTCTAAATAATATGTCACAAGGAGTTCATGCGCCTCGTCAGGCTCGTCAGTTGCTTCTTCCGCCAGTGCTTCTGCTCTTGCCTGAAAAGTTGCATTTCTTGCTGCCCTAGCGCGCCTGATATAGTCCTGAGGAAGGGGCGTAATGAACTTTACATGGACAGAAGCTCAAGAAAGGTAAGTGTGCACAAAGGCCCAAGACCGGACTCCTAAAACAAAAATGTATACATGTATATATACACCTTGGGTGCCCCAAGCTACTACTGCCCCAGAGACATGACACAACAGTCAAATTTGTGCCGAGGTGTGCCACCGGCCTCCTGAGGAGCTTCATCGCCTTGCGCGATGCCTCTGGCAGTGTCTTCATTCAGCCGTGCTTGGAACATGCTTCGGAAGGGTAGTGCCGCGTTCCGCCTTGTCGGCTGGCAGTTGGAATGATGCTTAATTAGATGCTCAATTTTCGTCGTGTCTAGGCGTGCAAAGTTGCTTCACAGCGTGGAATGCGGAATGGAGAAGAGAGACAGGAGAGCTTCAGCAGCAGGCTTGGCTTTCGTCCAGGCACAAACCCCGAAACAAGCCAGCATCTAATTAATCTAAACACGTAACCTCCATGCCGACACGGTTGTGCAGGCAAGGGAAACAAAAAAGGCTAACAGTGACACGTGTCTTGTATCTTGAATCTTGCGGATTGGTGCAGAGCGGGGCAAGCCTTTGAAATCCAGCATGTGCTTTCCAGGCAACATGCCCACCCTTTCGCAAAAGGTTGCCGGAACAGTGCAGGGCCTGCTTCAGTTGGCTGAGGAGCTTCCCCGGCAGCGTCCAGTTCCTGTCACATGACTATGCAGCGACCATGCGCCATCTCAAGGCAACTAAATAAACTCTGCGATGAAGCCTGAAGCAGCCTGGTACAAAACCTCACGACATTAGAGTACAAACTCACAGGAAGTATGACTTCCACAGAGTCAGCACGCTGCACCTGCAGAATTCGCAGCGAAAGTACCAAAAGAGCAACCTGCCAAATGCCTTGAGTGTCTCCTCATTTTTACTCGTCTTGGATTCTGGATGAGAGGTGGAGGATTCTCAGAAGACAAGACAAAAGATCTGGCAGACCCGAGATCCTGAAACCTTCAGCCCCACGACAGTCCAGCAAAGAGGGGTATGCAGCGTCTGCGCCCATCTCCGCATCTTGCGCTGCTTCTGGGGCTGCTATAGCGCCTGATCAGGGCATGCGGAGAGCATTTTCTCTGGAGTATTGGATTTATGGGGGATATATCAGAGTTATCGGTGGATGTCATATGGGGATAGTAGAGGGTTCTATGTGTATAATATATCATATCATACATATGAGGGGTGATGAAAACCCCCCACCCATCTAAATGACCCTTAATCCTGCTATCGTTGGTTTTTACTCTTATCGTTTTACAAGGTTTCGCCGTTATCGTTTACTTTTACTCTTATCGTTTTACAAGGTTTTGACTTAAGGACGGGCTCCCTCTTAAACCTGATTACGGGGTTTTTTATCATCCCTCA